ATGTACACTGCCAGGATGACCTGTACGTAAGAGTGGGCCTGAACATGCACGACCTTCTCATTAGTCATGTCGGTGGCCGGGAGGACAGAGCAGGCCAAGGTTGCTGATAGGACCGGTCACCAGAGCGGCCAATGTTAACGAAATAGCTTCATCAACGCTTTAATATGTGTTGGAATTTGATAAAAACGAGGAAGATCTTGAGCCCTTCGTGTTTCGGCGTCATTGGCTGAGGGTTCACATGTTGAAATAGTCAGCCCTCAGTTTACCTGGAGGTAGTGGCTACACGACGTTATCAAGACAGCACTGCATGCGTTGAAAAACTCGACGGCTGGCAGCAGTGTGATATGGTCAGCTTTCCCCGCAAAAATCGATCAACACCGCAGCCGAATATTTCATTCAACCCAGAGCGAACTGCACAGAATGTGTTGATCCCATTACTTGACATCATCCTACTTTTTTGTAATACAACACGGTGGAAGGTATGCCATGGAAACATACTTTAAACCGTCGCAGCCTCACTCGTACTTTACCGCCCCGCTGCCTCAGTTGGTCAGAGGCTTAGATTGTCTGTCTTCTGATTCATCCACCCGTAGTGGGTTGGGTTCGAGTCGCTTTAGGCGCTCGCTATTGACCCCCGACTGCGGTGGTCTGCGGCCGTCGGCAGCGGCCGCGGTGCCCCTCAGGTGAGGTCAGAGGGTGGGGTGGGCCATGCCAAGCATTGCGGCACTTCACGTTTTCGCCGCAAGCTCTGCCGTTCACCCGGAATCTTAAGATCGGATGGTGGGGCCATGACTGACGCAACCGACAGTGCTTAGCGTGGGCGCTTATCCAAGAAACACATCCGATGGAAATGCCTGAACTAAATCTTTAAGAAAACTCACCGTCGACCCGATCACAACACATCGTTATTCAGCACACCCCAAGGTATTCCAGGAAGCAGTCCTTCCATCACAAATGTGGAGAGTGGTGTGTACCGTCTGACCCCCAGCCGTGTGAGCGCAATCGTGCTAAAATCCTTCCTTTTCCGAGGAACGGATACCCGGGGCACTGGGCGAGGTGTCCTGATTGCGCCACACGGTTAATAATACGGCAAAATCAGATTTACGAGGGAGTCGAAGAAAGGGAAACAACAGACTGTGTCTATGTGAAGATACGGTGATATACGGCGGCCAATGCAAGAGTTAATTCAAGTTGCTCGTCAGCAACAGGTGTATTTCCTCACAGTGAAGACTGCGGCGGCATTTGATGACCTTTCACTGAAAAATAATGAAACACAATGGCCGTCATCAGTGATCTCACCTCGTGACATCGTGCCTCCACAGAAGATGATTCTCTGAGGACGGGAACGGGGTCCTGTCAGCCCCGCTCCAGAGCGCTGCGTCACAACCGCTCTGATGCCCTTCTGAGCGGCCCTGAGCTGACCTCACGGATCGATCGGAGAGTAGAGGCTTCACAGATGGGGCTGGGTAGGCTTCAGGTGGTTATTTGAGGACGAGAACGGGGGTCCTGTCAGCACCGCTCCACAGCGCTGCGTCACAACCGCTCTGGTACCCTTCTTAGCGGCCCTGAGCTGACCTCACGGGATCGATCGGGAGGGTAGAGACTTCAGCAGGATGGGGTGACACCGCACACAGCGCGAGCTTCGCTGGACTTGTCGTCGAGCATTTTCGTGGAATGCACATCAGCTTAAGGCTGTCGTGCTATGGCTTCTCACGACACCCAACCTTTCATTCACCTGGACCCTATGCTGTAATATCAAGGACCACGTCCACGTGGGCAAGCCAGGGAGCCTGCAAAAGCTCAAGGGCGCGTTCAGAGTTGCGGTGAAACTTGTCACCGTCGACAAGATCGCCCGGAGAGAGAGAGGGAGAGAGAGAGAGAGAGAGATAGAGAGAGAAGAGAGAGAGAGAGAGAGAGAGAGAGAGAGAGAGATAGAGAGAGAGAGAGAGCGAGAGAGAGAGAGAAGAGAGGAGAGAGAGAGAGAGAGAGAGCGAAGAGAAGAAGAGGGGAGAGAGCGAGGAGAGAGAGAGAGAGAGAGAGAGAGAGAGAGAGAGAGAGAAGAGATAGAGAGAGAGAGAGAGAGAAGGAGAGAGAGAAAAGAGAGAGAGAGAGAGAGAGAGAAGAGAGAGTAGAGAGAGAGAAGAGAGAGAAGAAGAAAAAAGAAAGAAGAAAGAAAGGAAAGAAAGAAGAAAGAAGAGAGAGAAGAGAGAGAGAAGAGGGAGAGAGAGAGAGAGCAATCCACCACCGGCATCATACTCAGCTGCTGCGCATCCTGGACTACCCGGGCCCCCACCTCTTGCATTTTGTGGTCGCAATTTGAAGGATGTGAAATCTCTTATCCACCTGTCAATCAACTACCACTGTCGCTGTTTGTATTTTGCCACTGCATTGGACATTGAATGTCACTAGAGTAACGGCTGTTCAAAATAACTTGCCACTTTTGGGTAAACCTTGGTTAACTTATACCTACGCCACGCTGAACTTTCAAAAGCTACCATGTGATATAGTCCATTTGATTTTTGTTGTGATCTCCTGTGTTATCTTGTGAAAAACCTACCAACGTGTACAAACTGGTCCGACAAATAAGGGAGCTGGCATGACAACACGTTAGGTACCAACAGGTTACTATGTGGTACAAAATGAGCATACCTTAATATCGATCTACTTAGGTACCAACATTTCAGGTAAATATTCTGCATTTATTTGGCCAAGTAATCCATTTTTGTTCACACGCATTGGGGGAGGTGAAGGAAGGAGGGCTCATGTCAGCATGGGCATCCTCCCCCCCCCCCCCAAAGTATATGAGGCAACGCCTGTGGCTCCCGCCATCATGGGCTCCTGATAGTTTCAATACCATGGAATCCCGAACATTTCCTATCGTCTTGTGAACTTCTGACTTCCTTGAAGGTTCCTTGGTCGTATCGGTGGACTGTTGACCACCTGCAGATTCCCTGACCACTCAAAGGTCCTGCACCACCTGGCAGGAAGAGGCCATTGCGTAACCCAGGATCTTGAGTCTGCTATAACTGTGGAGTAGCAGCTCCACGCTCCCCTATTTCATTCCTTGTATATATGTACGCGCACCGTGTGATTGGGCCGAGGGTGTCCTCTCCGGCGCATTTCCGACTGCCCACCTGACTACACTTCACCAAAGTGAAGCAATCAACTCCAGGATCTCATATTACATTACCGGGCCATCTCAACTAGACGTCGCGACTCAGCCACTGCCGACACATTTGCCAGTTATTTCCGTGCATATCCATTTGCGTGTTCGTCTGCGTGTGTGGGCGTGCGTACGTACGTGCGTCCTCGCGTGTGTAGGTGTGTGTGCGTGTGTGCGTGTGTGGGTGCGTGCGTGCGTGCGTGCGTACGCGTGCGCGCGCGCGTGCGTGCGTGCGCGTGTGTGTGCGTGCGTGCGCGTGCGCGCGCGCGTGTGTGTGTGTGTGTGTGTGTGTGTGTGTGTGTGTGTGGTGTGTGTGTGTGTGTGTGTGTGTGTGTGTGTGTGTGTGTGTGTGTGTGTGTGTGTGTGTGTGGTGTGTGTGTGTGGTGTGTGTGTGTGTGTGTGTGTGTGTGTGTGTGTGTGTGTGGTGTGTGTGTGTGTGTGTGTGTGTGTGTGTGTGTGTGTCCCTCAAACCGATCATCTCATCAGCATGTCTCCGCGTAACATCCACCATCAACTCAGGCATTCGAATAGCATTGTGTGGAAGGCCCACTTCTTCCAGAGCACCCTTCACCAGTTAAGGCTAATTCGTCGTCTCGACGGACCTCGGCAGTCCAGCGTAATTTATGAAACCAGTGCAAAATGGAAACGAAATTGTTGAAGACAAAGCAGTGATGCCGAAAGCTTGTCTCTTTCACTGTTTTGCATGGATGTAAGTCTGGCCAATTCCTTGAATCAAGCATCCATTACAGGGACAGTCCGGGGCGGAGAGACCAATTTGGTGGAGGAGCGGACACGCAATTGAACCTGCTGAATGCGCGGTGTCCTGTCATCCAGCACGGCACACATACACAATAGACCAAACACTCACCGCAACGCACACGCCCAGCCTTTTGTGTCCCGCGCCGTTTCGCCGCCTCTGAGACGGCCAATTTGAAAATGAATTAGATTCACCCTATTCTGTGCTAATTAACGGACGCTGCCAGCAGAAATGCCGGCGCGGAATGCAATTAACTGACGGCTGGCTTCGTTGTCCGGGCTCCGATTGCTCGATGGCGATGGCTTCTGGGTACGTTTCTAGCGGCGCGAGGCTCGCGCCTGTTGAGACTGTGCAGTCGGCCAGGTGCGTGCCTGGCGACCCCGCCGCCTGGGCGTCGTGCTCCGCCTGCCCTTGGCCCGAGGGCCTCGGTAGCGTCGAGGCTCCACTGACCTTGCCACAGAACTCCACCACGTCCCGGTGTCGGCACAGACCATCCGGGTTCTCGCCCTGGAAGCGCTTCGGATGGTGCACCTTGGCCCGAAGCAGTGTGTCGCTGGGGACGAGAGGAAGCGCGCCGCGTGAACAGTGTGTCGTTGGGGACAATATGGAGCGCACCGTGTAAACAGTGTGTCGCTGGGAACAAGAGAGAGCGTGAGCAGTATCTCGCTGGGGACAGCAGGGAACGCGCAGCGTTAACAGTGTCTCGCTGGGGATACGAGGGAGCGCGCAGCGCAAGTGGTGTCTCTCTGGGGACAGGAGGGAGCGCGCCGCGTGAACAGTGCCTCGCTGAGGACAGGAGGGAGCGCGCCGCGTGAGCAGTGTCTCGCTGGGGATAGGAGGGAGCGCGCCGCGTGAACAGTGCCTCGCTGGGGATACGAGGGAGCGCGCCGCATGAACAGTGCCTCGCTGGGGATAGGAGGGAGCGCGCCGCATGAGCAGTGCCTCGCTGGGGATAGGAGGGAGCGCGCCGCATGAACAGTGCCTCGCTGGGGATAGGAGGGAGCGCGCCGCATGAACAGTGCCTCGCTGGGGACAGGAGGGAGCGCGCCGCGTGAGCAGTGTCTCGCTGGGGATAGGAGGGAGCGCGCGGCGTGAACAGTGCCTCGCTGGGGATAGGAGGGAGCGCGCCGCGTGAACAGTACCTCGCTGGGGATAGGAGGGAGCGCGCCGCATGAACAGTGCCTCGCTGGGGATAGGAGGGAGCGCGCCGCGTGGACAGTACCTCGCTGGGGACAGAAGAGAGCGCGCCGGAGGGAGCGCGTCGCGTGAGCAGTGCCTCGCTCAGGACCGGAGGGAGCGCGCCGCGTGAGCAGTGCCTCGCTCAGGACCGGAGGGAGCGCGCCGCGTGAGCAGTGCCTCGCTCAGGACCGGAGGGAGCGCGTCGCGTGAGCAGTGCCTCGCTCAGGACCGGAGGGAACGTGACAGCCGGGCGCCGGACGAGCCGACCAGCTCGCGCCTCACGTCACGGCCGCAACTCTTTTGGTTGCACGAGTTTGAACATCACGCACGGTGAAGCAATGGAATGAACGGAAGCTATGAGAAAGACGCTTCGTAAGTTAGAAGAGTGATGTAACCAGCAGTGGTTGACAGGCGCTTATATCAGCAGTTGTTACCATTTGTTGTATGGTTCTTATACAGATAACGACTAATTCGCTGGAATTTGTGTACGTTACGTACATATATGACATCACATGTTTTTAAACAAACCGCGCCAGTCAAACACAACATTGGATTGGGACTGCGCGACGGACGCTGGTCAGTTGTGCAAGTGCAGCTTGAACGTACTGGACGTAAAGCAGGCTTCTGTTTCGCCGTGGGATTGGAGGACCAAATGGGAAAGAACGGTGCCAGGTCGACTGACATCACAGACCAGTGGCTGCGATAGACCACCGAGTGATACCAGCCTTCCTTTGGCCGTTTTGTTCTCGCCTGACCCTCCCATCGGGGGGGGGGGGGGGAGGGGGGGGAGGGTGGATTCGATCCCACACGGGGTGGTGGAGTAACTTTCCAGGTCCGAGGCCACTATTGAAGTTTTTATCTGAGGCCGGCGGGCCGGGACAAAAATGAAACAGCCATCAGTGTCCTGGAAATCAATCTCGACCTCAAAAGGTACGCTTTGAGCAAATGCTGCTGTGTTCCAGAAGACGTAAAATCTAATCCATTCATTGCCCTCCATTTTTGGGGTTGTAACATCAGATGAGACCATGAATATATGAATAATCAGTTCGGTCTATCTATATATCAAGGAAACCTAAAGCAAGGTTGACTCTTGCGTTGGAATGCCACGGAAAGACTATGTGTGTAAATGTCTGTTGTTCGTCGTACGCAAGGTCAAGAAGAAGTTTTGATTGGCTCATTTCTGGTTCAAGCTGAAAAAAGACGCCGGTGGCCTCTGCAAAAGAAGTACGTGCCGTGCATAATTTCTTCTCCTTGATTGGTCAAAATCGGAAAAAAAACAATCAAATAAACAGGCTAGACACTGGTGGCGATCGTCAGGGAGCGATAAATACAAAAAAGTTACGGTAAAAGTGGCGAAGTCTGAGGGTAAAGAAAACGGCAAAATCATCAAACAGGCATGTCTGAAAACGAACACATTTAGCTTCTGATTGAGAATGTTTACCAGTCACATAGATCTTCAAATCAAGGGGTGTTCATACTTCTTATTCAGTTCAGGGCTCCATCCCTCCCCCCAAGTTTGTAAAGAAGTGTGCTAATCTGGGAGACATACATATTTTAGGGATACATGGCATCGCATACATTGCATACATTACGTTGGTTTTGTGTCATAGCTCATTTTTTCATATCTTTTTGTGATCTTCCAACTAGGAATGCTGGCTGTGGGGAAGGAAGAATGAGCGTTGAGGGGGCCCTACGCAATATGTGGTGGCGGCGTTATGACAGGAAATTTGTTATGCCTGTTTAGGGGGAGATAGCAAGCCGTGGATCGCGGTCAATGAATTAAGTAACAAGGATGTTTTTATGTTATGGTTAGTTTTTTCTTAAATCTTTTGTAATTTTCCAGCTAGAAATGTTGGCAGGGGGGAGGAATCAGCATTAAGTGGCCCAACCCAACAGAGATATTGGGAAGTGCCCCAGAAATTAATTTGAATGGACACTCCTGCATTATACATGGTAGACATCACAGATAACCTTAGATCTGCATTTTACCTGCATGCAAAGGGGAACTTTGGCTTGCTGGTTGAATTTCCACCAATGTTTGGATGCTGGTAAGGAAATGTGTCATTCTGCTGTAGCAGCTGATGTTTTCGTTGTCTGAAATGCAGATTTTTATGCTGGTGTATATAAAATAAATAAAAAAGGATGGCAGCCAATAATTCTAACCCCTGCCCTGATTCTCCGGTTTTTGTAACGCGGACTGGTGGAGAGAGGGGGGGGGGGGGGGATTATCTGACGCTTGCCAACTAAGAAAGGTAAAGCCTCGCAACAAAACAAACACTGGGCTGCCTTTGGCGAGATCTCGTGATTGGCAAGAAGTCCACTGTTGTTAACTGACTTCACTAGACCAAGTCGAAGGGCAAATTCTCCTGAAAACGAAACATCAGCTTTGCATGCAAGTTGTATACACGAAACTATGCAATGAAGTGGTATGAAACATGAAGAGGCATGCCCCTTGTTTAATCAGGAGTGCAATGACGTGCAGTTTTATCTGTTTGGAGCTTATATTTATAATGTATGATTTCGTTCATGTAGCTGTCAACCCTCCGCGCGCGGTCCGCAGGATCGTCGCTTGCCCCCCGCCGCACCCGCCGGCCTTGTTCTTGCGATGGCCGTAAAAATATCACTACTCTGAAACCAAAATTGCTAGGGTCACTTTTTATGTCAGCACGCGTACAATGGATGCCCCAGAGGGTACCAAAGATTTGAGCAAGAATGCGCAATATGCCGCATTGGTATCCTCAGAAAACCGTAGGGGAGGGGGTGTTGCATGGTCCTCCCCCCACCCCCCACCCCCACCCTCCTGTCAGGGCGAGTAACTTGTTCAGAAAGAGCTAGTAGCCTGATTTGAGGTTATTGAAAAATTTCGATACAAGTTACTTGTTGGGGCACGGCGAAAGGCTATCACCAGTCAAAACATGTCGCGCCAGGCTTGGAGCATGCTTGGAGTATGGCGGATAGTTTGGTGACGGTTGAGATGGGGCTCGAAGCGCAAACGTGATTTCCATAAGGGGGCATGACCTCGTGAAGGCCCCCATATTTGACGTCATTCCCAGTGCTGCTTGTCACCGGTTCGAAATCTGCCACGTATTCTGCTGCCCTGGCTATCGAAGCCCTTCGCTGCTTTTTGCGGCAGAGGAAAGCATATCCAACCGTAGATCGAGTTTAAACGTGAGACCCCGGCAAGTCACGAGGGTGGAAGAAAATTCCTGTTGTGATTGGGCTACCGCATTAGTCTAGCGCAAGTGCGCCTGCTTTCCTAGCAGCAGCACTTATCCTAACATTTGTTAAGGGCAGTGGATGACTGAACATTTTGGTTATGTGCATGATATTGAAAATTGCAGCGATGGAAGACACTTGGTGATGGCTAATTGCTGATGACGCTACTGGGCATGGACGTAATGACCGTTTTGTCATACGGTATCACATTACGCTACTGGCGACAATTTTTCCTTCAAAAATTTGTTCGGCAACAAAAAGTGCACTTTTACCACCCATGGTCACACGTACGACATAATGCATAAGGGATAGTCTGGCATTTGGTAAAGCGACGATCCGTCTTACTTTCGATATCCTGCGGCACCAGTTGGGCCTCTGGACTTCACACAAGCCGTCCGATTTCGCAAGGCTGCCAGCGGTAAACCAATCATGCGTGACGATAGTTATATGAGGAGCTCACACCGGTGCATGATAGTTATATGAGGAGCTCACACCGGTGCATGATATATGAGGAGCTCACACCGGTGCATGCAAGCGAAAAATGCTGTGGCAACAACCTTTCAAGGAATGAGAGTCAACTGACAGGATAATTTGTTGGCATGGTCAGTCAGCAGTGAACATGAGCTGTGAGCTTGCCGGGCTTTGTGCGTGCGTGCGTGCGTGTGCGCGTGCGTGCGTGCGTGCGTGCGCCGCAGGAGTGGAAACCAAGGGAGCCAGAACGGGGCCAGATACCCCGTTCCCAATTATATGCAAACTGAATACTGGTACTATAGGCTTTGACTGAGAAAAGATGGCCAATTCCATTGCTTTCGATTGTCCTTCCACTGCCCCCGTCTATGGCCTGGTAGCTGTTCGTCACGTTAGCTCATTTGGCTTGAGAGCCTGTCTTGTGATTCACTCATCCATGGCGAGGTGGGTTCCAGGCATTTGAGGCGTTCGCTATTTTGTTCTGACTGGGATGGCCTGCGGCCGGTGGCAATGGCTGCGTTAAAAGTTAGGGCAGGAGGTCAAAGGGCGGGACAGCGTTGAGCATTGCGACACGTCAACCTTTCGTCGTGAAATTTTTCCGCTGACTCGAAATTTCCAGATCGGATAGTGCGGTTAGGGCTAACGCAACAAGCACCGCTTAACGTGGGTGCCGATCCCAGAAATCCACCCAATCAAAGCGTTCGGACAAAACCTTTTGAAGCAGCGCAAGAGATGATTCTCAGCGATCCAGCTAAGGTGCACTGCAAACAGTGCCGGAGCCTATAGCGCCATCTTGTGACTTCGCTGGGCCCGCGCTTTTCGAGCCGGCCTAGTCGGGCCAAAGCATGCACACGCACCCGGGGAGACCATATCATCACGAGAGTAGCCAACTTTGCCGAACGGGGGCATGGGCGCGTGTTATTGGATGGTCGCCCGAGCCCCTCGCGAGCGAGTGGGGCGGCCGTGCCACGCACACGGGTTCAACAGCACGGCCGCCACCGCTGCGAAGCCGTTTATGGGGGCTCATTTGTCACTGCCTGCGCCATTCATTGCTGAACAAATATCTGGTGCGTTTTTACTGGTAATGCGCCGGGCACACAGCACCGTTCGTCGTTCGTTTATCGAACGTCATTTATTAACACATGCGTCACACAGGTGTTTGGAGGGAACATGACACACGTAGTCACGCGCCGTTTTACAGAGCACCAGCGACAACAGCGGCCATATTGGCGTTCAGGGGCTATGGTGCAACCGGGATCCGATCACGGGCGCCCACGTGGGGGCCGAAGGCGCTAAACATCCAGCCAATGCACTCCTGTAGTCATACACTGTGAGGCATGTCTGGTGCGTTTTTATGTAACTGTAGTTCAGACCTAGTACGTGAGCGGGTGAAGAGAGTGAGCACGCCGTGAGTACGTAAGTGAGCAGGAGAAGAGAGTGAGCACGCAGTGAGTACATGAGTGAGGACATGAAGAGAGTGAGCACGCAGTGGGTACCTGAGCGAGCACGTGAAAGGTGAGCACGCAGAGAATGTGAGTGAGCACGTGAAGAGAGTGAGCATGCAGTGAGTACATGAGTGAACACGTGAAGACAGTGATCACGCAGTGAGGACGTGAGCGAGCACGCGAAGCGGCGCCCGGTTGCAGTCATAAAGGCTTGACCACATTTGAGTCCACCTGGTTTATTTGTTTGCTTGTTTGCATGGCATTCGTGAACATCTCTCAATTATGGGAACGCACTGATCAAGCAACAACTCAACGCAGTCGTAGGACTACTCACTCCACTGAATATGTGAGAACTCGCTGAAGATTAGGGCACGGGCATCACCACAGGCGCTTGCCGTGCTCGTGATCAATCTGTTGAATTTCATTCCGATTGGCTCAATTTAATGAGCAGAGGTGATCGTCAGCGATATGCAAATGATCGTCAAAAAACACGGCGAATCCGGTCGACAGGCACACGTAAGAGGCAGGCATATGATGCTAACACATCCAAACAACACTTATCGTTAACTTATAGATATAATTATAACTTCGGAGTGATATCGCTTAGCACTAATGCAAAATATGCAATCATCACGTTTTCCCCGCATTTCAGGGGTGTATGATGTGCACCAAGCACGTGCTTGGCTGCTGCGTTGTCCTCAACGACCGGTCGAGTGAGTCCGGAGTCGCCCAGGTGGAGGGGGACTCCGGACTCTGAGCTGACAGAAGCCCTCGACTTGTGAGAGCGTCGCAAGCGGCGCTCTCCGACTGAGCGGCGCACCTGGCAGCGTTTGGCAGGGCCGGAATGTTACTCACCTGTACCGGGAGTTCATAAGCACCGTGGCGAAGAAGTGCTCGTCCGGTATGATGATGACCCGTAGCAGGAGGCTCCAGCGAGCAAGCGGGGACGACGGTAGCTCAGATATAACGAACTCGACGAACTGCCGGTCCAGTGCCTTCCAGGTGGCACTGATGGAGGCGAGGGCGTGCTGTCAGGGCTCATGTCGTGGCAGATGTGACTGCTAGTTCGCTGTCGGGCTGACTCGCTATACCATGCACGATTTCAATCTCCCGTCAATTATGAGAGCCAGTAGTCCTGGCTCTATCTTCAGTCCTCCTTTGGGTTTGCTTCTTGTTCGACCCAACTATATAAGTCTGACATTAAGACGCTCTGCAGAAAGACGGCTCTTAATGTTGCTAAAATCTGATGTGTCAGCACCGGGCGTCAGACTACTTACTGTCCATAAACAGGTATCTTCAACCGGAGTGGACGGTTGCCGGGTCGTGAGACGTTGAATACGAAGTCGCCACAGCCAAACCTGAGAGCGGCAATAATATGAAACATATCATCATTCCATTATTACGATCAGTGAATAGCTAAGAAAGGCAAATTTCCAGCATGTCTGATGGTAACGCGGGACAGTTTGCCAGCTAAATAGATAACAAATGTGCAAATGTATGGATATTTCCCTTTTGAGCACCTCCCATGAAATGTCTAGTGTCCCAGTCTTCTCCCAGGCATCACGACAAACCAAATTTAGACAGCACGTCATCAGCCACGCTGTAGTTCCTATGCGTTTGGTTCTAAATCGACCAGCCCAAACAAAACCCGGCTTCTCACATGGCAAACACGTTGTTCTCTTCGTGCGTCCGCACGAACTTGTGCTCGGCATGATGGAGCAGGTTTCGGCCGCGGTACGGCGCTAGTGTCGCAGCCAGCTCGGCCGCCGGCCGCAGCGGCAGGTCAAGGCCACTGAGGGGCACGGCGAAGTCCCACGGAGCCATCCTGAGCAGCTCTTCCAGACACTGCCGACGGCGGCCAGCACCTGTCAGCGGCTAACTGCGGAGTATCAGGTCCTCACACGCGGAGTGTCCGCCACTCAGCCGCGCGGTGTCAGGCACTCAGCTGCGGGGTGTCAGGCACTCAGCTGCGAGGCAACAAAGCGTCCGATACCTGTTGGGGCCGCCGTAAGACCTTAGAACCGGCTAAGGGTATCAGGCACTAAACCGCAAAAAGCCTGGATAAAGGCGAAGTTTCCTGTCGTGTTCAGCTCAATCTCCTGCACGTGAGAGCGTCGCGGCCCAGTGGCCGACGGTCGGAGCCCACCGAGGGTTGCTCCTCCCCACACCAGGCCGGCGAGCTCAGTCTCAATCGGCTGCCCCCGCTGGCTGCTCTCATGTGATCATGTCATGCTCAGCCTGCAGAAACCCCGACTTAACATAGCCTCGCCTCCAACTCCAGCTCAGCCTCTGACCTATATCCCGACAGCGCTTGAGGTATTTCGCCGGCCGCGATTACTTCGCGAGTTAAAAGTACCTACGCTATCTCAGGATCTAGTCGTTTGGCCAGATAAATTTAAACTGTAATCGATAGCCGTGGTCATTCGCATGCATGAAATGTTATGTTGTGGGTTACGCTACCAATAAATCACGTTGTAGATCACGTGGTGTAATATTGCTGAAATGCACAAATGGGTAGCAGGTATCAATGGCGTTCAGCACCCCTAAAGTTAACCCGATGGACTTTCGTTGGTGATCTGAAACAACTACGTGGCGAACGATGCACATTGACAGAAGCGTGGTTAAACCAGTCGAATAGCTGCGCTGGTAAACTTTAGAATAAGAAAGGAAACTTCGAACAGCTCACCATGGCAGCACAAAAGGCAAAGCAAGCTTACACTGCTGACGTTATAACGCCGTCACCGAAACGCTCTTCGCAACGAAATCATCGAAACGGCTCCCCAAAATGCGTGAAATTAATTACCTGAAGGTACGAATAAAACCCGCAGGAGGTACTTTAAACCCTACAGGCGGTCATAGAATATCAGGCTCACGGCTGGGTCCTCTCTCACTTCTCATGGAGCAGCGTTGGCGAACTATCCTTGCCATGCCCACCTCTAATTCGGCGCGCAAGATGCGTTCGGAGCCCCAGCTGGCAGCGAAGGAGCGGTGCTTCTCGAGTAGGCGCAGCCGCTGCCGGTCCGGGTACCGCTCTGCCAGCGCTGCCTCAAGCTCACGCCGCAGTGCTGTGCTCCGCAGATCCACGTGGATCACATACAGGTGGGCCGGGTCATACACGCGTTCGAGCAGCTCCATCTGCCGACGGAGGGGCGCTGGGGTCGGCAGGGCGGATGGCGGGAAGCCAGGGGCCGGCGGCGGGAGCCGAGGTCGTCACCGGACAGTGACGGCGGTCAGCGCCCCCGATGGTATCAGCGGCTAGTGTCAGTATCGTCAGCCGTCACCGGACAGTGGCGGCGGTCAGCGCCCCCGATGGTATCACCGGCTAGTGTCAGTATCGTCAGCCGTCACCGGACAGTGACGGCGGTCAGCGCCCCCGATGGTATCAGCGGCTAGTGTCAGTATCGTCAGCCGTCACCGGACAGTGGCGGCGGTCAGCGCCCCCGATGGTATCACCGGCTAGTGTCAGTATCGTCAGCCGTCACCGGACAGTGACGGCGGTCAGCGCCCCCGATGGTATCACCGGCTAGTGTCAGTATCGTCAGCCGTCACCGGACAGTGGCGGCGGTCAGCGCCCCCGATGGTATCAGCGGCTGGTATCATCGTCAGTCGTCACCGGACAGTGGCGGCGGTCAGCGCCCCCCGATGGTATCAGCGGCTAGTGTCAGTATCGTCAGCCGTCACCGGACAGTGGCGGCGGTCAGCGCCCCCGATGGTATCAGCGGCTAGTGTCAGTATCGTCAGCCGTCACCGGACAGTGGCGGCGGTCAGCGCCCCCGATGGTATCAGCGGCTAGTGTCAGTATCGTCAGTCGCCACCGGACAGTGGCGGCGGTCAGCGCCCCCCGATGGTATCAGCGGCTAGTGTCAGTATCGTCAGCCGTCACCGGACAGTGGCGGCGGTCAGCGCCCCCCGATGGTATCAGCGGCTAGTGTCAGTATCGTCAGCCGTCACCGGACAGTGGCGGCGGTCAGCGCCCCCGATGGTATCAGCGGCTGGTATCATCGTCAGCCGTCACCGGACAGTGGCGGCGGTCAGCGCCCCCCGATGGTATCAGCGGCTGGTATCATCGTCAGTCGACGCCGGACATCCCCCGCTGAGTCATCGGCGAGCGTGCTGCTGCGGGCGGACGACCTGCGCCTAATCTCAGGCCGCGACCGTGCGGCACGGATTTCATCCACAAATGTTGCGGCGCGCTTCAGTAATCTGACACCTCCGGACTTATGTTGGGGTCGTGCATTGACACGTGAACATCCAATTAGCCGGTGATGCCGGCTGGGCATGCTGCCCTTTATACGGAGATAAAGGGCAGCATGGCTTCTCTTATTACGCATTGGCAGACGGATAGGCTTTGGTAGCATCCCTGTTAAGGCTGCTGGAATGCGACAGGACCGCTCGACACCACTGAGCCATGACTTACCACGGCGCCAAATCCACTGTGCACCATGACTTACCACGGCGTCAAATCCACTGTGCACCAGCAGGTAGAAACCTATTGTGACTGGCTCCAGAGAAGGATGCCGCGCTGGAAGACGATCAGTGGGCTCAACGTTATTGTACAGAGAAAAGCAGTGCGTCATTTAACAGCATTGTTAAACAAGTCATTCACAAGAGGAGAAAACTACGCGTAATTTGATCCGCCGCATCGGTCACTGGAGTTCCGGAGTGGTCTCTGTACACAGCGCGGACTGGACGCGGTATGGAAATCATGCCTAGGGTAATGTGCCCATGACGTCGTCCAACATCTATTCATGCAACATGATTTTTAGGATCAATGTCAGATGCTGCAGTCAGAGCTATAGAACACCATCAATTGTCAACAGTGAAATTAAAAAGGTGCATGTCAAAGTTTTCCCTGAACGTATGGACATGCAAGAGAGACGAAACAGCCGCATGTGTCTCTCAGTCTTCATCACCCTCGGCGGCGTCTGAAACTTGGGGAGTGTTGACACGCGGCGACGGCAGGGGTTAGCCGGCACCTTGCCGCAGTAGCCCGGTACCGGAGTCCCCTGCGCCTGCTCGGGCGGCTGCACCGCGGGCAGCTCCAGCGCTCCGGCCTCGGAGGAGCCGACGGCTCGGCGGTGTATTGCGAACTGATGAACGAACGTGCGGAATATCGATGGCGGGCCGAGTTGGGAGTGGAGCGCCGTGGGGTTTTATTAAGGAGCAAAGTTACATTAACATGCGCTCGGGTAGGGATCAATTTGAACCCCAAAGGTTTTCCCAAAATTGTTTCCGAACGACGCGGCATAATCGCGCCACATGTATAATGGCTGTAGACAATTGAATAGTGGATCGTTTAGTATCAAAACTTTGCATGTACCATGTAAGTTTACTGACCATATAGTTCGAATCTATGTTTGAATTATCTATGCATAGTGCGTTGAATGCATATGCATACGCATGTGCATTATGCACAGTTTGAATCTAGGGTCCAAGTCAGATCATAAATTCAGCGAAGCCCATTTCTAGGGGAATCGTTCAATCTGATGCGGCAACGGAGTATTAGACGAGGCCGTACATCTTTGAGGTACTTTCTAAGGCAACACAACAAATAATATCAAGGTAAATAATATCAGGTAGATAATCAATCAAGGTAGATAATATCAAGGTAAATAAAAGGCATGTATTAAGTACCATCTGCATCACCTTTTACATTGCCGGGATGCTTGGAAAGCAGAGGTGGGATTATCAGTGCACACGCCTCGGTCACACGGTCCGAGGTTCAGGACATCCGCAGGTATGAAGGTCAGACCAATGTTAAATCCTCCTGTTTTATTACTCTAGGGCTTGCTGTAGAAGGTAGTGTTTGGTGCTTATTTCGAATTTATTGATCAGGAGAACCGCCATATACATCTTCCACAGACTTCTTAAAGGTCATAATAGGTTACTGGCCTAAAATGACCCAGTTCAACGTTTTGTTTTTCGGAACATTCTGCCTAGTGTCATCTTTGTCGCTTTTTCAAATGCAAAACTCACGACAGTCTTGTATGATTTTGGTCACCATGACCTTTGAAAGATCAAACAAGGTCACTGACCTTAAACGAGCGCGTGAAGTTTTGCTTAGAACAGGTATCTAGGTTCTGGGGCACGGTGGAGACCAACCTTGAGCTTGACCTCCTTTGACCTTATTTGAGCCGAAGGTCATGACCCAGGGACCTCAAACTGTGACCTGAGTGATTTCAAGTACAGGCTAATGCACTCTGTGAATTTTGTATTTCTAGCTTTCTTAGTTCCTGAGATCTCAGCGGCCAACCGGCCACCGGGGCGCGCATTAAGGCACGGTTATGTTGAGACGTATCTCCCTCTTGTGAGCGGCTCGAGCCGGCTCCAGCCTAGAGGAGACGCGTTCGGACCGATCACTCCTAAACTTAATGAAAAAGGCTGTTAAAGCGAAGAAATTAGATATGCCCATCACCCCAGCTGTTCACGGGCTAGTTTTTTCGATGAGAACGGCGAAGGGTTTGTGATACAAAGAGAAATAGGCCAAATGGGCCTACAATAGTAGCGCCTTTATCATCTGATAGCATTTACAGCCCGAATAGAAGACGTGTGCCCGGTGACGACAGCCTTTTTCACGGTCGACAGCCAGTTCTCTAATGAGAGTTCTAACTTGAGGTTCTGTGACTGAGCAGGGACTAAGGTGGTCATACATCAAAGCAGTTTCGAGATCTGATCACTATGACCAGAAGGACTTTTGCGCAGCCGTTTTATATAATTCCCGCTTACGGTTTTCGCATCGGGTTGCCGGATTAAAAACAAAACCAAACTCGTTTGCGAAGATTAAACGCGTATTATGTCCCATCGGCCATCCCAATGCATGCTGCCTGAAACAGATCGATGGCATTGCCAGGATATTCTGAAAAAAATGGTATTGTCTTGTGCTAATGACAAAATAGCAATATTAAAATCATGTCATAAAATAAGAATGTTCTTATTAATATGGTTCAGGGTGTAACTGATAATATCAAGGTAAATAAAAGGCATGTATTAAGTACAATCTGCATCACCTTTTACATTGCCGGGATACTTGGAAAGCAGAGGTGGCATTATCAGTACACACGCCTCGGTCACACGGTCCGAGGTTCAGGACATCCGCAAAGACCCGCGACCCGACAAGAAAGCCTCGCGGTTCGTCGGCGAGCTGCTGTGCTCTAACGTCTAACCTCTCCCTGAGCGAAAAAGCAAAAAAAAAAAGAAGCTATCCATGACCGAAGGGTAATACCCATTATCCAACAAACAGGCTTTAGATTGCCCGGGGAATGGTCAGTGGTAGACAATGCAACGAGATCATGCCGAAAATGCAGCTCACACACCCCACGTGCGAAGAGCGATATCACGTGTGCATCATGCATGTTAAGCGATGCTTTAGTTTGGCTTTTCCACCCCTGGTGTTCTCTTCTTTTTCTACATCTTTCGTGCCCCATCGCAAGAGGATTTTTTGGTGTTTTGCCAGCTTAGTGAGGGAATGCTGCTCCGGTGCCCAATGGGAGGCCCGAACTCAACGAAGGGAACGCTGCTCCGGTATCCAGAGGGATGTCCCAGCTCGATGAAGGCAGGCTCCTCCGGTGCCCAGAGGGATGTCCCAGCTCGATGAAGGCAGGCTCCTCCTCTGCCCAGAGGGATGTCCCAGCTCGATGAAGGCAGGCTCCTCCGGTACCCAGAGGGATGTCCCAGCTCGATGAAGGCAGGCTCCTCCGGTACCCAGAGGGATGTCCCAGCTCGATGAAGGCAGGCTCCTCTGGTGTCCGGAGGGATGTCCCAGCTCGATGAAGGCAGGCTCCTCCGGTGTCCAGAGGAATGTCCCAACTCGATGAAGGCAGGGCTCCTCCGGTACCCAGAGGGATGTCCCAGCTCGATGAAAGCAGGGCCCCTCCGGTGCCCAAAGGAAGCCGAGGCTCCCGATCACCGGACAGTGGCATCTATGTGAAGGCAGGCCCATGCTGGCTCGCAGCCCCACGGCTGCGGGCGCTGGCGAGTATAGAGTGGCCTCCGCGCCACTTTCGTGTCCACTCCCGCGGTCACTCCCCGACTGCTGCCGTCAAGGTGTCCACTCCCGCGGTCACTCCCCGACTGCTGCCGTCAAGGTGTCCACTCCCGCGGCCACTCCCCGACTGCTGCCGTTAAGGTGTCCACTCCCGCGGTCACTCCCCGACTGCTGCCGTTAAGGTGTCTACTCCCGCGGCCACTCCCCGACTGTTGCCGTTGAAGTGTCCACTCACGCGGCCACTCCCCAACTGCTGCCGCCAAGGTGTCCACTCCCGCGGCCACTCCCCGACTGCTGCCGTCAAGGTGTCCACTCCCGCGGCCACTCCCCGACTGCTGCCGTTAAGGTGTCCACTCCCGCGGCCACTCCCCGACTGCTGCCGTCAAGGTGTCCACTCCCGCGGCCACTCCCCGACTGCTGCCGTTAAGGTGTCCACTCCCGCGGCCACTCCCCGACTGCTGCCGTTAAGGTGTCCACTCCCGCGGCCACTCCCCGACTGCTGCCGTCAAGGTGTCCACTCCCGCGGCCACTCCCCGACTGCTGCCGTCAAGGTGTCCACTCCCGCGGCCACTCCCCGACTGCTGCCGTCAAGGTGTCCACTCCCGCGGCCACTCCCCGACTGCTGCCGTTAAAGTGTTTACTCCCGCGGCCACTCCCCGACTGCTGCCGTTAAGGTGTCCACTCCTGCGGTCACTCCCCGACTGCTGCCGTTAAGGTGTCCACTCCCGCGGCCACTCCCCGACTGCTGCCGTCAAGGTGTCCACTCCCGCGGCCACTCCCCGACTGCTGCCGTTAAAGTGTTTACTCCCGCGGCCACTCCCCGACTGCTGCCGTTAAGGTGTCCACTCCTGCGGCCACTCCCCGACTGCTGCCGTTAAAGTGTCTACTCCTGCGGCCACTCCCCGACTGCTGCCGTTAAGGTGTCCACTCCCGCGGCCACTCCCCGACTGCTGCCGTTAAGGTGTCCACTCCCGCGGCCACTCCCCGACTGCTGCCGTTAAGGTGTCCACTCCCGCGGCCACTCCCCGACTGCTGCCGTTAAGGTGTCCACTCCCGCGGCCACTCCCCGACTGCTGCCGTTAAGGTGTCCACTCCCGCGGTCACTCCCCGACTGCTGCCGTTAAGGTGTCCACTCCCGCGGTCACTCCCCGACTGCTGCCGTTAAGGTGTCCACTCCCGCGGCCACTCCCCGACTGTTGCCGTTAAGGTGTCCACTCCCGCGGTCACTCCCCGACTGCTGCCGTTAAGGTGTCCACTCCCGCGGCCACTCCCCGACTGCTGCCGTTAAGGTGTCCACTCCCGCGGCCACTCCCCGACTGCTGCCGTTAAGGTGTCCACTCCCGCGGCCACTCCCCGACTGTTGCCGTTAAGGTGTCCACTCCCGCGGTCACTCCCCGACTGCTGCCGTTAAGGTGTCCACTCCCGCGGCCACTCCCCGACTGCTGCCGTTAAGGTGTCCACTCCCGCGGCCACTCCCCGACTGCTGCCGTTAAGGTGTCCACTCCCGCGGCCACTCCCCGACTGCTGCCGTCTCCTGGGGCTTTATTTGGTTCCTGCCTTTGGCTTTGGAGCTGCCTGTCTAAAACCTTCGTTTTAAGCTGGAATTGAAGATGTCCCCTCCTGCGCCTGCGTCACCCGTGGACTACTCAGCTGCGTTGCTGAGGATATCAGACAGATTGAGACGTTGTTTAGCGATTTGTTCCAGTGCCCATTTCGACAATGCTGCTGTGCATCTCTTAGAATGACAGCCTCTAATGTTCACAACAACTCTAGATTCAATGTGCTCTACATAACCGCGCAAAAACAGCTGGCTGCTACATAGCAACCAGCAGTTTTCGCACCATATATTGTCCTCAAGCCGTTCCTCTGTGCTCACGCAGTCGGTGGTCCTGAGCCATCAAGTTGTGTCCAAAGCTTTTTTAAGCCCAAGCTATTCGACTTGTTTTTCCCTGCTGGGACCTTCCAAACCTGCATGAAGCCATCGCCTCCGTGTCCAGACCTTTAGTTCCAGCTCAAGCCATCCTTCCCCGCTGCAGCCGGCTCTCCGTGCTTAGATCATGCCACATGCCCAGGCCATGCCGCATGCTCCAATGATGTCCCGTGCCGCAGTGGCGTCGTGCTCGTGCTCAGGCTACCCCTCGTGTGCTCACATGCGGCTGGAGGCTGCCATACTGGCCGGCTGCCGACGGTCGGCGTTATGAGGAAGCTGAGGCCGCCGTCGCCGGCATCACCGTTCCACATGAACGGCGGCAGGCACTCCGCACTTCGACTGTATTCCAGCGCGCAAAGCACCTGGCTCATCCGCTGACGGCACTCCTCGGAGTGCACCCTGTCGATGGAACGCATTCGAGCCCGCTCAAACCCGGCACTCCGTGACTCATTGGGTGGCCTGAAATACATGACCCGATTCTCTTGCAGTTAATTTACATTGATTCCAGTGTGAGGGAATATTGAGTGAGGCGACTTCGTGGCCTCGATGATGCGCTAGAGCACGGGCTGTGCGAAACACAACGCACCAGCATCGCTTACCAACGAGAACACGCGGCAGTATTTTTCACACAAAAACTTGACCGTAAGGAAATTCAAATCCGCCAGATTTTCTGTGAGATGCATATTTTTGTAGGTACTTTCTATCCCTACACTCACTACCACATAGCAGACCACGAACCGGAGTTGAGCTCACTTTGACATGACGAATGCGGCCCGATCCCTGAGCGTGCGCGGGTCGGACAGACCGGGCTCGCAGCGGCCACGGTACCCCGCTGCTCTGACGGCCTCATGCTGCGGGCAGGTCAGGCCAAACACGTGCTTGCTGAGCACCTCACGCTCCATCAGCTGCACCCGGGAGTAGTTCCGCACGCCCGACTCCAGCAGTGAGCGGTATTTCAGGTGCACCACCTGCCGGACGAGCAGGCGAGATATATCGCTACGTCGTCTTTCCGCTCGACATGCCATCTAGCGGATGACTGGCAAGCAAGTCGAAAGACAGGTACCATTTACTGATGTTCTTTACCTCGAAGCGTCTGGATTTAGTCGTCCAGTCCTCGGAGTCTAAGGGATCTAGGTTGGAGACCTAGCTTTGGGAGAGTACCACCTGCTTTTCAGGAGGATTCAAGGATCTACTGATGAGATTTGGTGTCATTTGAACATTGAATATGCATAAACCGTCTCACAAGAAAAACGTTTGTTAAGCACAAAGTTTCATTATGACTTAACGATGTTTCCTTTTCATTGGCACGAAGAGGCCTGCTAATCGTCTCATTATGGCGATAGCAGCCCATTGTAAACGACAAATAATTTGAAAAGAAAGGCCAGCAACTCTGTCAGCATCCCCGTCAAGATGAAAGATCTTTTCATGAGTTTTTTTGCGACAGCATTTGTAACGCAAGTGTTGTTATTGACGTGGTTCTACTTGCAAACTAAAAAATGCATGCGTTGCACTGCCTGGAAGGGCCGAACTTACCTTTGCGTTGTGGTACTTTGTGTCATCATAGCAGGTCGTCGTCACCGCCATTTTCTGAGAACAAAATGACGCATTTCAGGCCTGGGAATGCGAGTATAGCCTAATATCACTGGTAGGTAACGCCTTCCTTCGACTTATGTCTAACGAGTCAACGCTTCTTCGTCTCCTGTCAGAGTCCGACGACTTCGGGCATGGTCGCTGATGTCACCCCCTTCCCGCAGTCGCTCCGCAGCGGTCACGATCCGCGCCTGACGGCCTCACCTCACCAGCGCGGGGGCCAGACCCCGAGCGTCCAGCCCGCGGCGCCCGCCAGCCCACACGGGCGGCGCTCCCTCCCCTCCCCAACCCCCACCATCACCTCACCAGCCCGGGGCCCGACCCCGAGCGTCCAGCCCGCGGCGCCCGCCAGCCCATCACGGGCGGCGCTCCCTCCCCTCCCCATCCCCCACTATCACCTCACCAGCCCGGGGGCCGACCCCGAGCGTCCAGCCCGCGGCGCCCGCCAGCCCATCACGGACGGCGCTCCCTCCCCTCCCCAACCCCCACCATCACCTCACCAGCCCGGGGGCCGACCCCGAGCGTCCAGCCCGCGGCGCCCGCCAGCCCATCACGGACGGCGCTCCCTCCCCTCCCCAACCCCCACCATCACCTCACCAGCCCGGGGGCCGACCCCGAGCGTCCAGCCCGCGGCGCCCGCCAGCCCATCACGGGCGGCGCTCCCTCCCCTCCCCAACCCCCACCATCACCCACCTTCCGCAGACCGGGGAGCGGGTCCGAGCCGCAGAACTCGTTGCTGAAGAGAAAGGTGCAGGCTCGTCGGCCGAGGCAGCGCCGAAGCGGCGTACAGTGACCCTCAGGCTGGCCCCCTCCGTCTTCGCTTCCGACACCGACGCCGACGCCGACGCCGTCGGCCAGGCGGTAAACGATGGGAGGCGGTGTGGCGCCGCTGGTCTGCGACGCCCTCAGCAGCCGATATTCCACCTGGAAGGACAGCGCATGGTCACGAGGCCGCACGTGTTACGGTGACACGTGCCGAGCGGGCGGTTAACGGTCATGGCGCTGCTCTGGCGACAGTGCAAGCAGCCGACGGCGGGTGAGCCCTCAGCTGCAAATTGACGCTTCCTGACTGCTGACATACAAGCTAATGATCAAAGATGGCAGCAAATACGACGTACATAGCGACGGTTACGAAAGCGACGAGACGGACACGCGACACAATAATCAGGGGCCGAGTGTGACTGCTCACCTCCACGATGACAGTCCGCTCGGTGCAGGTGAGCATCACATGCGGCCGATGTTCCATCAACACGTACGAGCGGCGCAGCAACGAGCCCGCCTCGAAGAACGAGTGCTCCGGCTCGAACTGAGTCCGCGCCGCGTGCAGCGCCAGCGCCAGCACCAGCGCCAGCAGCAGCGGCGACGGGAACATGCCGCCCGCCTGTGCCGGCAGCGGAGCGGCGCCCGCTTGCGCCGGTCCACACACACGACATGCGGGGCGGCCAGCGGTCGGCCGTGTTGACCATCGATTCACCTGGAGACCCACCGCTGTGCCACGATTGGGGAGGGGTCACGGGGGTGGGGGTCGATACGGCCGGACACGGTGCGGACACGACGCCGCTTGGTGACCTATTTCCCCTCGGATGCTCCCGCCCGCATCGACATCGGGCGCAGGTACTTGTGCCGATGGCAGCAATGAATAACGGCTGTAACGGCTGCTGCGCCCTTAATGGTTCACACCTACTGAATTGTTTACTATCATGAGCTTAAAGTCCTCGTGCCGGGTTAACAACCTTAAATATATTAGGAGGTGCGGGTTGGACGACGTTATAATGCAGAATAAGGATAACATTGACCGTACTCAATATTTCGAGTTGTGCTCATTTTCAATGGCGGAGCAACTAAACTCAAGATTGGCCAGGATTCAGAAAGGCTCAACAAAATATTACACTTGAAAATTCAGGAACTTTTTCCTCAATCTGGGCAGACACTGCCACTAAAGCAGATCAAAATGGTAAATCATCCAAGCCCCTCATAGTCCACATACAGCTCGGCGTTAAAGGCTGCAAAAATGAAACAAATAATAACACAAGAACTGAGCTGGAAGGAGCGAAGGCCCGACACAGAAAATTGGGTAAGAACATTACTTAACATGCGCTGGGGCGGGGGTCAAATTTACCTCCCACCCGAAGGTTTTTTCCGGAATGGTTTCCGAACGGCGCAGCGTAACCGCGCCAAATTTTCCATAGCTGTGGACAATTGAGTGGTGGATCGTTTGATATCAGCAATTGAGATGTACCGTATAAGGTCACTAACCTACGGCGGGTCAAATTCAGGCCCTGGATTAAGCAAAATCAACTTCTAAGGAATCATTCAATCTGATGCAATAACGGAGTGTTAGACGAAGCCATACATCTCTGACATATCTTCTTAGGCAACACAACAATAGAATGAACAAAATCCATTGACCTAGGTTCAGGTACGGAGGTGAGACCATGGTCAAAACCTACCTGTTTTGCTATTTTAGAGCCTGCCGTATGGGGTAGTTTCTGGCGCTCATTTTGTATATATTGATTACAAGAGCCGCATTGTGCATCTTTCATGGACGTCCCAGAAGTCAGAATAGGTCACTGACCTACGACGACCCAGGTCGACGTTTTGTTTTTGGGAACACACTGCCGAGCGTAATCTTTCTCGTTTATTCAAAGGCAAAACTCAAAGCAATCTCGTATAATTTTGGTCACCATGACATTCAAAATGTCAAACAAGGTCACTGACCTTAAATAAACATGAGACCTTTTGCCAAGAATAGTTATCTAGGTTCTGGCGGCACTCTGGAGACTAACCTGGAATTCAAATTTTTGCCCCATTTGACCCGAAGGTCATGACCTAGAAACATTTCACGTTGACCTTAGATATTTCACAAACGGGCCAACACACCTTGTAAATTTGGTCTTTCTAGCTCTCTTAGTTGCTAAGCTCTCAGGGGGGTCAAACTGACCATCACCCGGGCAAAGGGTATCCATCCGGCCGCCCGGGCGCGTGTTAACGCGTATCAGCCACCGCAAACATTGTGCTCAGGAACGCGCATGGCCTAAAAATGCTATTTAGACCACGTGTCATGGTGAAATTGATGGTTCAGCCTGAGGCGAAGATTCCGAATGTACGGTGACTGAGATCTTGCGGTTCGCAATGACCTTAGCGGTTGCTAAAATTTATATTCTAAAGCTGGTGTTTGTTGTGCTGTGCTCTACCGCTGCCTGTCGATCTTCCATGTGTTTTAGAGGGGTGTCCGCGCTGTACGCAAACCTGCATCTCTAAAGTGTTCATTAAACCGGTCACGAATGCTACTTTTCTCTTTCCAACATTAAATATCCCTGACCAAAGGTTACAGGATATCTTGTATTTTACGTTTTTCCCGATGCATTTGTCTGCAGTCCATTACACATGCATGGTAGATTCCATTTCCTGCTGGACATTTTGGGGCCTCTAACACTGATCGCACTAGATCGCATTTTACAATAGCAGCACTAGTCCACACTACGATGTAGATGCCGTACATACCACTTGATGATACGGCTGCACTGACTTGTTTACGCAGCTCGTGGTGTATAAAAGGGAGCTTCACATAAATATCATTTGTCTGCTTTGACTTTTTACATCGTCTACGCAAACCTACTGTCAAACAAACACGCGCTGAGGTGGAGGTCAAGTTGAGACCCCGAATGTTTTTCCGAAGTGGTTTCGGAACGGCGTGGCGTAGTCGCGCCAAATTTTCCATAGCTGTAGACAATTGAGTAGCGGATTGTTTGATATAAGCAATTGAGATGTGCCGTATGAGGTCACTATCCTACGGCAGGTCAAAATCAGGCCGTGGATTCAACGGAATCAATTTCTAGGAATTATTCAATCTGGTGCAACAGTTGAGCGTTAGACGGACCCATACATCTCTGACATACTTACTTAGGCAACACGACAATAGAATGGAAAAAATCCATTGACCTAGGTTCATGCATGGAGGTCAGACCAAGATCAAAACCGTCCTGTTCTCCTATTTTATGGTCTGCTGCATGGGGTAGTTTATGGTGCTCATTTTGTGTTTATTGATAACAGGAACCGCAGTATGCATTTTTCATGAACTTCTCGAATGTCAGAATAAATCACTGACTTAAAATGACCCAGGTCGGCATTTTTTAGCAACAAACTCTATAGAGTAATCTTTGTCGATTATTCAAATGCAAAACTCAAAGCAGTATTGTATGTTTCTGGTCACCATGACCTTCAAAAGGTGAAACAAGGTCAAGGACCTCAAATGAGCATGAGACCTTTTGCTTAGAACAGTTATTTAGGTTGTGGAGGCATTATGGAGACCAGCCTTGAGTTTGAACTTGTTTGACCTTATTTGACCCAAAGATCATGATCTAGTAATCTCTGACCTTGACCTTAGGGAGTTCACGAACAGGCCAAAACAGACATTTGAATTTTGTGTCTCAGAATTTGGTGTCTCCAGTTTCCTAGCTCCTGAGATCTCGGTGGGATCAAACTGACCCTCACCCGAGCGGGGGGTATTCAACCGGCCACCCGTGCGCATGTTAATTGGAGAAGGTGCGGCACAAGCAGAGTGCCTTACTCCGTGTTCTGGGTGTCCATTATCATGGAAGTGCAGAAACATTTTAGTTAGACTATGAATAAACTGTTATGGACCAGAAGATAAGTCGCTTTCCACATCTGTGAAATAAGAACCGGTTTTCTAGCGGCCGTGGGGTGCGCCGATTGTTATGTAGAATGATAGGAGCGCAATGGGCTTCTAATAAAGCTCTGTAGTATAGCTACCATCGGGTTGTACCACAAAAAGGGTTGTCGAGGAATGTAATTGACAAGCTGTGTGCGGTGTGTTCCAGTGTGACAGAAATACTGGGATGTGTTGATTGTTTTTTCGCAAAGAATTCCCTTAATGGGTTCAACTCATGGGTTCAGGTGCCGAAAATGTCAACAAAGCAACGTAGGTACAACTGAGATCTTAGACCACATTTTCCTTGAAAGAATAACTCAAGACAGCGCGCAAAAACTTTCCGCCCTTCCACGACCAATCGACCGGAGGATAACACGGCACACCCTTCAAATTTGACAAAATCGTGGCTACTAGGTACTGATACGACCACAACACGATTTTGGTAAGTGCTACCGCCGTACGGCGTACCGAAAATAAACTAGGAGCAGATGAAAACATGCAATGAAATAACGCACCTTATTATTCCTTCAAATCACTCTAGCGCAAACAGTTCGCAGGGTATGATGTTTGGGAAGCATGCGTGGGAGAGCTCAATATCTAGATTTTCGGAAAAAGGGTCAATTGAACATTCAGGGCCAATTGGGTACATGTTGGCATCTAATTTGGCATTTGGCTTCGGGGTCTAAAAACATTTTACCTTGGATTTTTTTGACACCGATGTGCACTGAAAGACCAATCCATTGCTGTTCAAACTTACCAAATAAATTGATGGGATCTTTTCCAGATAGGTCGAAAACCGAATGCAAACATTGGGGGAAAGCTGACCGGTCAATATCGGGTGACGGGTGCGATCGACTCACACCGTCGGAAACCGTGACGGTGACCTTGAAACCATTTGTTTCAATCTTACACCAGCCACGTAGACATTCCTCCGGAACTCAAGAACAATATTTGAATAACGAGTGTGTGTTAATAGACCTTTCGTGCACGCCGCCCCTCACGAGTAGCGTTGATGGCAACGTCATGCGCTTCGACTCGTCACGGCGCATCGATAACCCCTATGTAAAGCTGAGCTGAAGCTCAACATGAGGGAAAACAAACAACTGGTTTTAAGACACTTTTTTCATTTGAAGTTGAGCTGGAGGAAAGCCGCACTGAGTGCTGGCCCGACACACATGGAACCGCGCACATAGAATTCGACATAGTACGCGTCTAGTTCGATACGGTGTCCGAGCAAACCAGGCCGGTGCCCGAGAGAAGACCAGGGTGCGTGTGGCTGTGCTGCCGAGAGGACGGGCAATTGAAGCTTGCAGTGTTACTGTCCTCAGCAGATGCTTCCGGAAAATGTATGCTGAATAAATACGACTGGTGGAAATTAGTCGAGGAAGAACAGAAAATATTGTTTACGTGGCGTAGCGATATTGCGGAGAGTATGGTGCAAAACATTTGGCATCCTTATGAACAAAATGTGTTACTTAAAGCCTGTTTTAACTTACAACTTAATAACACCTACAACTTACAACAACTGTTAACTCAAAACTTGTTAAGCTGTTACATTACATTACATTACATTGCATTACATTACATTACATCACACGCTAACGCACTGAACAGCTTACGAAATTTTGAGGCCCAGATAAAAGTTGTCTAACGTTTTCCCACCACTGGCAAGTGTATTTGTCGAAAAACTGTCACTCTGGCGGCATTCAAATGGCAATGCAGTGGCAAAATACAGACAGCGACAGTGGTAGTTGTCAGAGATTTCACATCCTTCAAATTGCGACCACAAGAATGGAAGAGATGGGGGGCCCGGGTAGTCCAGGATACGCAGCAGCTGAACATGATGCCGGCGGTTGATTGTCCGGGCGCTCCTGTCGACGGTGACAAGTTCCATCGCAACTCTGAATGCGCCCTTGAGCTCTTGAAGGCTCCCTGGCTTGCCCACGTGGACGTGGTCCTTGATGTTACAACATAAGGCTCAGGGTGAAAGGGTGGGCGGGTGAGAAGCCACAGCACGACAGCCTTAAGCTGATGTGCATTCCACGAAAATGCTCGCCCCACCAATCTGGTAAAGCCCGCTCCGTGTGCGGTGTCGTTCCATCCTGCTGAAGCCTCTACTCTCCCGATCGATCCCGTGAGGTCAGCTCAGGGCCTCTCAGAAGGGTATCAGAGCGGTTGTGACGCAGCGCTCTGGAGCGGTGCTGACAGGACCCCCGTTCCCGTCCTCAAAGAATCATCTCCTGTGGAGGCACGATGTCACGAGTGTGAGATCACTGATGACGTGTGACTCTGAGGCGGTGCTGACAGGACCCCCGTTCCCGTCCTCAGAGAATCATCTTCTGTGGAGGCACGATGTCACGAGTGCTGGATCACTGATGGCTGCCGTGTTATTTTAAGCATTTTTTTTTGCGAGTGAACGAACATTCGAATTTCGCTGCAGCCTTAAATGCGGGTAAGTACACATGTCGCTGTTGAGCAAGCATTAATTGGCTTTTATCTGGGCCACCCTCCATGAACGGTATCTTCACATAGACGCACTCGGTTGTTTCTCATCGCTATGCCTTTTTGCCAGTCTGATTTTACTGTTTTGTTGAGCGGAGTATCCCACCTTTTTGTACTTGTTTGTGTTTTTCCCAGGTCTTGTTACATCAGACGCGTACGATTTGATCGAAATACCAGTTTTTTTTGTCTCGAAATCCCCCTGAATAGCTCAGAATTTTGATTTGAAATAGCCAACTCTGCAGGATAAATATAAGTTGACTCCCTATTCACTACTGTAAAAGCAATGCATTTAATATTCCTAGCTTGTTGCAAGTGTGTATGTAATATTTGAAAACACAAGCCTCTCAAACTGTTTGTCTAACAAATGCTACGAAAACTTGAAAAACTGTTAAGCCCAAACGATATGTGAACATGAAACTATTATCCCGCGAATTCAACGTAACGTTGAAGTATGACTGATTTCTCCCCTATGGCGTTAACCACAGTGCCTCTTTTCAAGCCACACTTAAGATTTGTGGACGGGAGTATCACATATCCATGTTACGTGCTGGTTTAAAGTTCAGCCAGTGCGCTTCTCCGTACCAAGTCCTTGTCCTCTAGGTGAATCACAGACGTTTTTTATTAGCATTAGTAGAGGTACTTACGGTAGTTGTCACGACGACGGTGGTCGCCACAACGGGGAAGAAACGTAGTGACGTTACAAAGTGTTGACAGTATAATTTGGTCTGAAGAATAATACGGTTCATACACTTATCATGTCTTAACGGTGCCGCAGTGTCACCAACCAGTGCTAATATTAGACGTAACCAGTCCTGAAGTTCCACTAGAGCATGCTTTTGGAGTATCCCCAAAGGTGGGACACTCCATACAAATGGCGGGGTGAGCCCGCTCCCCACGCCCACGCCACATGACTGCTTGTGTTAACCAGATCAAGTAATGGCAATGGCGGCATTTGCGCGCAGTACTTTGTTCAGAAGAACTCAACATAGATTATAGCCTACGTTCAGTTGATTCGCCAGGTGAAAACCGGCAACGCGCTCGTGAATGAACTGTCCACTGTTGCAGGGGATTGCTGAAAACT